ACGGAGCAGCAGCCTTTTCAAGACATAGCTACGGCCCCAGTGAGGTGATGACAGCTCGCTGGGCTGGGCCCCGAGCCGCCGAGGGCTGTGTGTGCTCTGAATCGGGTCCAGTGCCCGACGCTGTTTCTCCCAAAGCCGCGTCCAGGGCCCAGGACTCAGGGGACTCGATTATCAGGCAGTGACTCCCCGGGGAAATTTCTTCCTGTTCTTGTGGCTTTGCGCTTTGCTGGCCTAGAAGTATTCATTCCACCAGAAGGAAAGTTTCTGCAAAGAGACAGAACCGAGATCCATGAACCCAGAATTGAAGACGGGCACCTGGGCATCTCTCGTCTCTGACTCTGCAGCACAGCAGAGCTGCTGGCTGGGGCCCTCTTCCAGATCACCACGGGGAGTGACCACCACCCCTCCGTGGAGGTAAAGAGGGCTGGAGAGTTGAGGGAGGGAGCCCGGCTCACGTCGCCATGACTGTGAGCTGAGCTGCAGGCAGAGGGCACCGAGACATCAGTGGGAGGAAGCAGCTCTGGGCACAGAACCGGGACCCGTGTGTGACTAATCACCGTGCACGTTTATTCCTGTTTTGTTCTGAACACAATACTCGTGCTTCTTTTCTTTCCTCTCTGCTCCCTTACCAGGTAACATAAGATGCGCAGACTTCATGTCACGTACTGAGCATGGTCCACTCAACACCATGGCCTCTAAGCATTGGGCCGTCAAGGGGAGGCGAAAGTGTCACTCAGGGACTTCACCTGCTCCTGCAGAGAGGCGTGCGGAACTCTGCAGAATCTCAGCCTCCTCACCGCGCGCCTTTCCAGACGACGCACAGCTTCCAGAGGAGGCCAGCTTGGGGGGACTCCAGAGGGCTTGCTTTACAGATCCAGTGGATGGGTGTGGGGCGCTGTTACTCCCAGATGCGTCTGCAGGAAGGGGGTCTGCGTGCGCACAGCCCTCCCGATGTGAGCCAGCGCCGTCTGCCAAGGGTGGCACCAGAGTGGAGGTGGAGGAGGCTGGGTCCGCCCTTGGCCTCTGCCAGGCTGGTCCTCTTCTGCCTGCAGCTCTCTGGCCCTCCGGCCCTCAGGTGTTTCCGGAGCCATAGGCAGGTGCTATGGCTTGAGGTGTTTGAGCCTCACCCCAGGTCGTCCTACGGCAGATTGTGGGAGCTGTCACCTCCAGAAGTGTGAGTGATTCTGCTAAATCTCCTCCGTGTCTCCTGCTAATTCTGCTTCTGGGGAGAACTGGGTACTGATGTCCAGGGAAGGTGGAAGCTGGGAGTGCCCAGTGGACAGCACCTGCTGCCGGGTGCACAGGTGGACGCGAGGGGTCACTTCCAGAAGGCCCAGGACACCCTGTGAGACCGGAAGCGGTGATCTGTCCCCAAGCACACCCAGACCTGCCCCCACCCAAGACTGCCCCTGCAGGTCTTCTGCTCAGCCCTGGGACTGAAAGACGGGACAGGAGGGCTGCTGCGGTCGGGGACAGCCAGTCCCCTGTCCTGGCTGCTAAGAGCTTCCCAAGAAGAGAGCCAAAGAAGGGGAGGGAAGGAGGAGCCCAGGAAGAGACCCGCCGGCCGGCAGCCAGCCGGGAGCCATGCAGAGGGCTGAGGCGTTGCCAGCTCCTATCTGTTTTAAGGTCACTTGTGTTCATTTGTGAGGGGACACTGCCCTTCCCCCTATCTTCCGGGCCTCTGCACTGGTCTGTGAATTGAAGTGACACACGGCTGAGGAAAATCACTGTGATGTGTGAGTGCCTGGACAGAGCCCCTCAGATCTGCAAGGCTCAAACAGCCAGACACTGGGGGCTAGCAGAGCACACCCAGCGGCAGAGAGGGACAGTGAGCACGTGGGTTTGTGCCCATGGGAGGCGGGTAGGGGCGGGAAGGCCCCCGATGGAGGCCCAGGTGACAAAAGCACCAGGGAGCAGCTGGCCTCCGGTGGGGACAGCCAGCTCCCGATGCTCCGTGTGCCCTGGGACTCTCTGAATGGCCACTCTGATCTCCTGCAGCATGTTTGGCGTTGGGGTGCATCCTGACCATCCCCCTAGGGTCGCACCTGCAGAGCCTCCAAGGAGGGAGGAGCTTTCTGGACCCAGGCGTCTCCCACTCTCCTGCCCGCCCCCCCCCGCCCGGTCCAGCCTCCTAGGAGGGAGGACAGACCTGGAGACCCAAGGCTCAGCGAATGGGGGGCGCCCTGGCTGGCCTGGGGTCCTCACATGGAGGCCACCTGAGCCCTATGGGCTCTTGCGGGGACTCCAAGAGCTCCTGGGTCGCCTCCTGGCACAGCGCGGCCCCAGCCTGCGTACTGCGCGGAAGCTCCGGCCGGGGCACCTGGGGAGGAGCCCGAGTCCTTGGGTCCAGAACTGCGTCTTCCCGGGGCTGCCTGCCAGGGCCTCCGCCCACCGCC